ATCAATATGCTTTAATGCAATAGCCTCTCAAAAAATAGTTAAACACACATACTCCTACATCATGAATAAGGGCATCATAAATAGAAGGAGAGGAGGGGAGAGGAAGTGGGAGAGGGAGAGGAGAGGCTTTTTGCTCACTAGCTAATAATCACCAAAGTTATCAGGGAAGAAATCAGAAAGTCTTGAGCATGTATTTGGTAACTCTTAACTAAGTATAAGAGTTTGTTGGCCAAATTCACAGCTGGATCTGTCAAGCTTCTTTCTCAAGAAGTACTTTAATGAACATATTGTAGTTAATATTGTTTTAAGAAAAAAATAAAAATAACTATAGTGAACTACAGTGGGTATAATTTTATGTTTTTATATTCCTGCCATGAAGATAAGTGTTCCTTTTGTACTGCCTGACACATGTATCCCTGAAGCAATAGCCACATGAGGTCACTGTTGTTCATACATGAGTCATAAGCTCAAATCACAAAATTTTCAGTTGACTGAAACCAAGATGTGTGACTGAAAAATAAAGTTGGCTGTATTATGCATTAACAAAACTCTATGTTTCACAGTCTGTAAAGAGTATTTATTAACATGGGCAATACCAAATACAAATATTATATGTATAAAATCTAAAATAATTTCTTTGTATTTGAAAACCAGCTAAAAATTATCTCATAACAGCTGAAAAGAGCATGGGCATTATCGACTATATCTTCTGGAACTTTCTCTGTAATAGTTATTCAGCTGTGCTGGCATAATAGCATAAAAATTTCAAGAGACTTGGAACTTTGTAATTATTTAATTTTTTATCTTTCACGAGAATTTTTTTTCTTTCTGGTTTTATATGTAAAGTTTATTGTCTACAGAAGCATAAAAATGCAAAAAATTTAAGTATTACAAACCATGTGAGATGGTCTGGTATTAGATAAGCAAGCTATTAGGCAAGCATTGTTACAGCAAACCTGCACTGAATTGCAGTGCAAAGCCATCCTAGCTCTGAATTTGCTTACAAGTTTTTTGTCAATCCTTAAAACATATTATACCTATTATGCTAATAGACCCTCTCTGAATGATTCATCCATTCATGTGATTATATCAGCATACATTATCATAACAACTTCTCTTAAAAGATTACATAGCATATATGATGAATTCAGTGTTATGAGATTTCAGAGTACATTTCTTTTTTGTCGAGTTCTTCTAATAAAAGAGTAAAGTGTCATATTCACCAGTGCTATATAGTCATGAAATTAAAAACCTTATCACGATCGAAATCATCAAGAGAATAGAACAGAAATAGCAATCAAAAATGTCAGCTGAATTTGAAGAACTGCATAATTAAAATCTTACTCCCCAAACTGAATCAAAGTCACATTTGTATGCTGAGATTCTTTCAGGGAGGTGGGCTCTTTTTATGCTGGTGTATTTATCAGCATGCATTTGGATGCAAAAGCACGATTTGTTCTACTAATAAAATAAAAGATAACTTTAAAATTTGATTAGTTTTTGCTACATTTTTTATCAAAATACCATGCATATTAACTTCTACATCTGAGCATTAAAAACCCACACTACATAATGTAATAAAGGACTACTTTAATAGAACATTAACACAGTTAAAAAAAACCTCATATATGTGCTCAACAATTCTTGCGTTTAGTTTTTTATCTGTAAGCAGGTCAGTAAATAAAATTCCTCATATTATCTAATTATTTCATACCTTTGGATTCCCATATGGGATTTTAGAGATCACAGAGAAAACTTAAATAGTAAATACATTCAACTTCAGCAAAAGAGCAACAAAACAATGAGTCTTAAACAACAGAGCCTGTATATAAAATGGAGGGAAAAGTGGGTCAATACAGGACATTATCCCCAGTTTCTATTTTCAGTATGTACCCTTAAACCAAAAAAATATGTTCTCATAATTAAATAATCATTAGCTTAAACTCTACAGCTGATCTGACTACACATAATATGACCTCCATATTTATAGAAACAAAACATTGTATAATTACAAAATATAATTAACTATACTAATTAAGCTATAAAATAACAATAACTCTCAGTAAGTATATGACTACAATTTGCTGCTTAACTCAATTAATTCATGGCCATAAAGGAAGGCTAAAAGAACTAGATTCAGGAGTGAAAGAGTTCATCCAGCCTCAGAAATCAACTAAATTTTGAAAATCTGTCAGTATAATTGGTGACTGACCAGTAGCAGCAGCATGTGCAGCAGATGGTTGTGGGAATGGGTGTGAGTGTGCATGGATGCAAACATTCCAATAGCTACTGGCCCTTCTGTGATTTGAAAGGACAAGGAAATTTTTACCTCAAAATTTGTTAGCAGGATCCACACAACAGCAGTTCAGCCAGCTCTTAAAGAGGAGTCAGATAATTAACTACCAAAATGTCGGATAGACAAGGAAGCAACCACTGGATGTTTTCACTTGCAGAGCACAATGCATATAATTACTCAATGCTGTGATAGTGCCAAGAAGAAGGAAGAAAGGAACTTGTTTCACTCCCTAGACTCAGACCCCTACCATGGGACAAATGAATACTTTTATTTTGGCTCTTATGACCAAAGAGATCTTTATACATTGTACTAAAAATTGTCTTAATGAATCCAACCTTTTGAACCATACCATCTGTCAGTTGTGGTAAAAGATAAATATACGAGAGATATTTTCAGGAACATGTCATATGACAAAAAATTCAATTTCATGTTTCTTAGCTGTTTATTAACTAGCAAGTCCCTTCTTTCTTTTGCTATTTTTTTAATGAAGTATTTCTGCCTGAGCAAGCAAATGAAAATACTTCCTGCTACCTTGCCTTTACTCAGTAATCAAAATCCTTACTGAAATAATTTATCATAGTGTTAGGAGCATATTTTTTGAGTGGAATCCCTTCAAGGTATTGGCAACACATCACTGGAAAGAAAAAGTCTTTTTTTACTAGAAATACATATTATTCCACCAACTACTACTCCTACTAAAAACTCTACCCAGGGGACTATTTTCATCACTGAATGTAAGTGTCCAATGTGTCACTCCAGCAGATGATGATGGGGCAGGTGGAAGGCTCTTATATTCATTTATTTCAAGTGAGATTTAATTTATTCTTCACCTATTCTTTCACTGAGAACTTCTCTCCCTTGCCTTTACAACCTACTCCATTAGGGTGTCTGGCAAGTCAGTGAAGAGGAGAGAGGTAACATAGTTTTGTGTGAGTCATATGCTGGTAATAGTCTGAGCTATTTTACTGTCTAAAGTAGCATAGTTCTTTCATCTCACAGGTCGTTTTACTACTGCTGGTTTAAGGTTTAAAAAATTGCATGGCCAGTCTATTTTAGGGGCAGCTGACACACAGTCAGAAAATACATTGGGGAAATTATTGTCCGGTGAGGTTCAAATGTTATTTAGAAGCAGCAAGCAAAAAAATCATTTCACCACAACCCTGTGATCTCCAATGTAGCTTTTTAAAATGTATCTCTATAGCTTTTGACTGATAAAATCAATTTGGTAGCATTCTTTAGAAAATCTTTTGAGATTTCATCATTTTAGTTGTTCAAGATTACATTTATAAAAGAAAAATTAACACAGTTTGAGTCACACATAACTCCTTTATATGAATCCATATAATTTAAACATATGTATTATATATTTTGCCTTCCAAATTTGCCATTGATCCACAGAGATGTAAAGATCACTGCTGACATACACAAATCAGAATGTGAAGTCATTCAGAAGTCTATCAGGAGATAACATAAATAATAACAATAATAATACCATTATAATCATAATTAAGCTTGTGTATAATATTAATATGAAGTAAAACTCTTTGTTCCAACTGTTATGTAGATTTTTTAAAAGCTTACTCTCTGTACAGAAACTTCTTCTTCAAAACAATAGAATCCATGTTTAAGAGCCACAAAAGGCACCTCCTGTCTGATCACCTATCACCACCATATCCACAACTCATATGTATTATTTCTTTACTTGAGTTTTTTAATCTCCATTTTACCAAGATTCTGGAGACATGTAAATAGACAATTACTCATCATCAAGGCATTTTTGAAATAAATTTTTACTTGGGAAATGTGTATGCACACACTTGGTGTAGTTTTGTTTTGGTTTGTTTGTTTTGGGTTTGTGGTTTTTTTATGTTTTTTGGGGTTTTTTTGTTTGTTTTTTTGTTTTGTTTTGTTTTTTTGGTGTTTTTTTGTTTGTTTTTTGAGGTTTGGTTTTTTTTTGTGCATAAATAAGGTCACAGAATAACTTAGATTGGGAGAAATTTCTGGAGGTCAGCTTGTCCAGCCCTCCTTGCTCAAGGCTGACATACATTCACTAGCTAGGCTGGAAATAGCAAGTAATTTATTTATATTAGCATGAGGACAGCTATGGAAAAGAAGCATTTTCATAAGAAAATAATCTAGTATTGTGTAATTTTATACATTAAAGAACACCATATCTTAGTTACCTTTCTGATATCTAATATACCTTTCTATATATCTAATTACTTTTCTATGTATCTAATATATACATTTCTCTTTACACAGATATATATACACACATCCCACATATAAAGATAGAAACATGGAATTTGGAAAGATAAAGAAAAGAATATATAAATATGGAAATATATATATATATATATATATATATTTGAGAAATTGCATTTGTAAAAAGTATATTCTTATATGAAATGTTACAAAATAATACTCTTTTCTTCATGAAATAAGGGAATATCCATGGACCCTACTAAGAGACATAAAAAGGGTCAGAAAACCACTTGTCTTTTACTTAGACCAACCTTTTCAAACAGAAGTATCATAAAATGGAGCCTGGACACAAGATGTGACATTTTGAGAACACATCAGCTGCCCCTCAGTGCATTCTCTATGAGTTTAACAAGTCAAGGCTAACCTGGGTGACAACTAATTAAGACCCTACTAATGAGGCTGTAAAAAATTGTGTCCTTAGAGATTTCATATTACTGACCTCTATTGCTCTTTAGTCATTATACAGGGAGAAATGTCCCTGTGTGAAATCTTCAGTGTTTCAAGCACATTTTCCAGAGCACAGCTTTCTGTAGTAAATAGAAAACAAATGTAGTTAATCATGCAGATATCAGCAAAACATGGTACATTATGCCTTTGTGTTCATGCAGAAAGAAAATGTGTCTGATGTAGATGTTTAGATTTACAATAGTTTAATAGAACCAATATTTGGCATATTCAAATACCAGACTACAAACAAATGTGCTGTCACTCTGAAAGCTTTCATATGGTTGCAATTTTCAAATTAGCAAACTGAAAGTTATCTAAAAGGCAACATATTGTTATACTCTAATGGGCCACTATGGCATAACTTATTTAGTCATCTGTTCTAGCTTAAAATCAATTTCTCCAGATTTTGGATTCAGAATCCCCATAGGGTTTTTACAATTTGGCTACTCCTTTCTCTTTCTTCTGGGCTATATTACAGGAGCATGTATACCACAGGACTTGGCAATACATCTGAGGAAATGTATTGCCAAGTCCATTGTTAAGGTGGTTTTTTACTGAACTCATCACCCCTAGTGCACCAACAGTGTAATGCAAAGGCTCCCTTGTCATAGTGTATCATGGCATACTGGAATGAAACAAGACTGATCTGAGTCTATTCACAGAAAAAATATCTGATCTCAGCATACAGGGAGAAGCTGAGTGAGGCCAGACTGCAGCCAATTGACCTGAAAGGAAAACATCCAAGATCCCATATTAGTTCCTACAGACTGAAAGGCATTTTTATTCATGATAATTTCCCTGTACTTTTTCTCCATACATTTTATTTTCCAAGTTTAAAGCAGTGAACATGAAAAAGGTTGCCATCTTTCTTCCATGTACATAACCCTAACTCAGAAATGTGGTTTTCCCAAATTCAGGCCTCTTTCCCTGACCCAAACTTTAATTGCCTAAAATATAAATGCCTATATATGAAACGGTTGTTTTTAAAAAACTGGTTTTATTGTCAAAGGAAAGGAATTTGTTTAGTCAACACAGAGTTTACTTGAGAAGGTAAATGCATCTATAGCTTCTCTCCATTGTTATTACCAGATCTCTGTTGACTACAGAGATACTGCATGATGATTTTTCAGATGATTTCTAGAATTACTTCCATTTTAATAATGACACCATCGCTCAGTGCAGTTACATCTGGAAAAAAAAATGAAAATATGATCTTGTTCCTCTGAATTTTCTCTTTCAAGCATCAGACCTTTTACACACCCAGTGACTCTCAGATTTCATTTTGATTTTCCCTTACAAAATAAGAGCATACACAGGTGAGGAGGTAAAGTTCTCATCAATAAAACTCAATGATAACCACAGGTGGAATATTAGACTCAAATTCATCTTTCAGTTTTAGGCTGATTCTACTGCAATCTGTTGAAAGATTGGCATCTGTGTGCACACTCACTGGATTAGGTTCCAGATTTAGATTCTTTTACAGTTTTGGGGAGAAAAAAAAAGAATTCTGAATTAAATTGGGCATTTATACTGGTCAGATTTTTCAGTGCTGATGAATTATCTAGGTTTCTGTGCTTTCTACATGCATACTGCATACTGCATTTGATCTTTCACTTTTCTTGGTGACTTTTTTCCAAAGCTGCTAAAAAACTTTAAAAGATTCTTCTCAGACCTGCCTTTTTTTTTTTTTTTCCCTCAATAATCCTAGTATAGAGATCTTTGGAATTAGTAATTTGAAGTAATACTAGAAGAGGAGTAATTATGTTGCATGTTAATGCATGCTCTTTACATACGTCAAACAAATATATGTTCCCCTTCAAAATGCAGTGCATATCCTAGATCATGAATATGCCATTTCTTCCCCTGATTCTAGGATTTTATTTTAGAAACAAAACCAAAAAGATTCATCACTGATTCAGTAAGAGCAATCTCAGTAATCTTAGCTGTGCATAGGTAACATTTTCATCTCATGATTATATGACTTTTCTCTTATAAAATCATCATATTATTTTATATCTCTTTCTTTGTTTTAAAAGTAATTATAACTATAAAGAAAAAACTGTGATTATACTCAAGTTATTCTCATGTTATTTAGGTAGGGTTTGTGGTCCCTTATGTAAAATTCTAGTTGAAACCCAGCACAGTTCTCAGGATAGAGTTGGAGATTTAGACTTCTATGCTTCCAAGATTGCATATTTAATAATACTATGATAAAATACATCAAAATTATTTGGAGCAGGAACCAGAATCTGGAAGTATCTTCTCTCCCAAATACAGACTCTTTTCAGTGGTTTGTTAAAACTGGTTATCCCCTTTCTCCCATATCCATGCAGAATGTCCCATTTTTACCACAAACATGAGAAAACTCTTACTACTATGGTCTAACTGGTGATTATGAGTTTCCTTGACAACAGAGCAGTGCATAGCTGCTTCTCCAGATTAGTCTCACAAGACCTAGCAGCTACAAGTAAAATACAAAATTATGTGATTAACAGAGGTGAAAAAGTTTATTTAGCCAGGCTATATACAAGAGACATGCAATCAAATTTTCCTCATTGGCTCACACTTTATAAGACATCAATGAACAATTATGCCTTCTTGAATTAAATTCATAAAAGACTAATTGCAGAAGGACATTTTTTGATTTCTTGTTTCCATTTTCATATACCAACTGATGACTGAGGAAATGGCTGCTAGCAAGATTTCAGAAAATACACTCTGTAGTATTTCCTGTTGATTTTTTATTCACATGAAAGATCTAAGAAACTGTTGCTCATAATTGTATTTTGTAATCTGTACAGAAACTGCCTCTTTCAGACATTTTATTGAGGCTCTTTTTGAGGCTATCAGTGATCTATTCTGGAGGTATGGCATTGAAAAGGAAAAATCTTGATCAGCACCCCAGGTTGTTCCCTCTGGCTACCAACATTTACAGAAAACAGACCTGTGAAATCTTCAGATGATAAGAGTGAAGCAAGACTTTTCAGTGTGCTGTCTCACCTTAACTTACAGCTCCCTAAAGCACTCATAAACACGCAGGCATGACCTAGTGATTTCTCTGGGGTGCATCTCTGCTGTCTTCTGCTGCACAGCATGTGGAGCCCCAAGGCCTGCAGCATGCTGATTGGTATTGCTTGGAATGCATCAGAGATCCCATCTGGAAAGTGCACTCATTTCTTTTGCAGAGAAACTGGAGCATGTGTGGAAGTGTGGGGAGAAGAAAAGTTTGGAGAAGAGGTGGCACATGTCCTTCTCGTCTCATCAGGATAACATGATGCATCTATGCTTGGGCTTTTCTTTCTACAAATCAGGACTCCAAGCCTGAGTCATAATGCAGCATTGATGACTCATACCTCATCTTTCATTTCTTTCTGCAAATGGAAACCTTAAAGCTTTTAAATATGTACTTTAAGACTGACCTGAGAATTAAAAACTTGGAAGCCCCAGATGCATCCTTTGTTACATTGGTGTTGTGTATTTTATCATGCTGTTTGCTACTGTTTTCCTTTCCTACATTAAATCTTTTAATCTTATCTAACTGTAAGCAGTGTATCACACAAAATGCACTTTTATTCACTATGCCAACAAATACAATGAAAATACTTCCCAGTTTGGCACACAGAGCATGTGTCACATCTTGTGACCATATAACAGCAGCACACTACATATAAACAAGAAAATAAAATCCCTTGGCAATATATCAGACATCATGTACCAGCTCTCTCTCAAGACAGGGTAACAAAAAATTACTTAATAATCACCTGCTTTTTTTTTTTTTCCCAATTAATAAGTCATACTTAAAAGTTCTCTATTAAGATATAATGTAATCCTCCAAAAATTTCTCATCATGACTCAAGAAAACACCTGAGAATCTTGTGTAAAGAGGTTTTGGCCTATTTGAACAGGAGCATGTTTCACAAATATATCTCTTAGCAGCCACTGATGAAGGAAGTTTAGAAGCAATCAAAAAAGAAGATTCCAGTGCCTGTATGTTCTGACTTTGACCCAATCTGTTGGAAGCATAAAAATCCCTGTTCAAGACTGCAGTTCTTGAAAAATACAGGCAACCGGGTGTAATGTGGGGTAATTTTCTGAGATTTTAGAAATCTTCACATTGCCTGTATTACCATATGAATAGAGGGAACACTCTTAAAGATAAATATAATGTTTATAGACATTTATATGTCAGGTCAAATGGAAAAATTATTCTCTTTCATTGAGAGATAATGATTACTTCTTATGACTAAATTTTATAGTGCTGCATTATTTACAAAGCTTTGAGCAGACATTAAAATAGTCATTACCAAGGGGAGGATTCTCCTTTCATTCTGTCTCTGTTCTTTCACATAAAAGAACATATTGCAAATGTAAACACACTTTGAGCTGAATATTTACAGTATTTTTAACACGCTTTCTGGCATCTTTCTGGCAGATTACTAGCTGTGATTTAAAAAAAAAATGTTTTTGTGACAATTGTTTTATGTGCTTTTTAGCTAGATTTTTCTTCTGATACATGTACTGTCAGAATGCACATGTGCAACATATTTATGCTCTATTGACCACCCAGATTTAAGATATACCAGCTGAATATAGGAAAATGCATGCAGTCAATCTCAAATGTCTGTGAATCTCAGCTCTGCCAACTGAAGAAAACCAGACAGATTCATAATATTTACACCTTGACTGTTCTGTGTTTCTGTTCTCTCACCTGTATCTATTTACTCCATTTGCATGAACAAGAAGGAAAAAAAGGATCACAGGCAGGCTATTCATACACAGGCTATTATCACAGGCAGGATTAGGATTTTCAATACAGGTAAGGTACAACCTTTGAAGTCCAGACCTCCCCTGAATAGTTCTGAAAGACAGCTTCCCTGAGACCCAGTTTTATACTCATTTCTCTCTGCAGCCCTAGAATCCATACGTAGAACAGGCTAACAGCAAATGTTAGCCTATACAACCAAGAAAGCACTTTTCCCCTCTGCTGGTTGCTCATCTGATCTAATAAAAAAGCCCCTGAACCAAAGCACACCAGATGCTAGCTGCTATCTCTGTGCAACTGCAGATGGGTTAGCCCAGA